GGTGATCCACAATAGTTTGTCATGACGATGGTTAGGCAATCGGAACTCTAATCAATTTTGAATGAGATGAGAAAGAGAAAATGAATATGATAATAAATCTTTTACAATCTACATATTGAAAACTTACACGCGAATAAAACCTTTTGCTAAATTATATAATACCAATGTTGGCACTTTTCCATTTTCTTAGCAAAACTGGACTGAGGGAATTCTTATGATGCAGCAGCAACTACTTTGACGAGCAATATAGTAAAAACCTCAGCATCACCATTATCATCAGCCTATCAAACTCCCTACTACTGGGGCACAGGCCTTCCCTACAGCTGGAATAGGGATATTGGGCCATGACCCACCATGCGGGCCAGCGCGGATTAGTTGGTGCTAATGGCTGCTGATGCAAACGGAACCAACGGCTTAAAGTACCTTCCGGCGCACGGAGGAGCTCGAGATAGTAAGTTTTTGGTTACCCATCCAATGACGACCATTGCGAAAGTTTGCTTAATTTTCACGATCGCAGTAATAATCTGTATTGTTTCAGTCGACATATTGGATCCTATCAAAGCTGCTTGTGGATCTATGTCTGTGAGAGTATTTATTTATTTCGAATTTATTCCAAACAGCGGGCTTAATGCCATGGCCATTCTCTACCAGTCAACCAGTAAGAGTGTTGGAGACAATAATTATGTTGTTTGTTGATGTGAATATCAAAAATCTGTTTTGGGCATTAGTTCACTTTCAAGTAATTGAGCAGATACTTACCTCTGTTTAGAGAGAGACTTATAATTCACTACTGCATACTGCATTGTTCAAATGGGTCAAAAATATTTATTTATGGTAGAAACTATGTAACAATCTAGCTACCAAACGTTTTAACTAGCATTTTGACTTCACCGTATTGTGATTATCTAGTTGGAAAAAAGATTTAGTTATTAAGACATAAAATGTTATCAACGGAAATCAATTAATTTCGTCAACAAATAAGAAAATAAGCGTTTACAAAAACCAAAAATAAAAAACGAAACGCGGAGCATTCCTCGGGTAAAACTTTATGTTAATCATTTAGTGTTGAGCCTAACTCAATAATCTATATCGATAAAAGTTATGAGTGTCGCCCGCGCCGCGTACAAAACCTCCTTAGGGTTCGACCATAAGAGTGAAAAGATTAGATATAGATGAAATGCACCCCGGATATTACACTATAATTAAGAACATTTACGTGTTGAGGGCGCCAAATTTATCGCCGAGTTTTTTGTCGATATGAAGCCATTCTTGAGTATTTATGTGGAGATGTTGGGGTACGTGTGAGGTCCCCGGGGTCCAGTAGTCGGGTTATCATGTGGTAATCTTTATAGCCCCTGGGGACCTCTCGCTGCGACCTGTCGACAGTTAATGGCGGTCCGAGATTACTATAAGGCCCTGACTCCCCGATATTTTGGGAGAGCGTGTTTGTGGCGTTGTTTATAGCTTAATTAGACTGTTTTGTTTCAAAATGGAAATCATCGCCGACTCTAGCTTGATAAAGTGTCGAGGTATTTACGATTTGATATCAAGTCAATATACGACTCGTTTCTGTTTTGATCGTGCTGTGTCATAACAAACTATGATTTTAACTGATGGTTTAAATTTTATTCTGAATTTTGTTATATTTGTTGATCAGTAGCTAAAATTCACTGAAAATACTAATTAAAAATATAAATAACTGTATTAATATTCGAAAAAGTGCATTAATTGTTAAAAATTCCACAGTGGGTAAATTTAACATTAAGTAAGTACTTATTTAAACGTTTACTGATGGTGAGGTATGTATTTCTGATAACAAAATTTAAATAAGAATTAAATCTTTTTTCATTGATAAGCATTTGACATCGACAAAACAAGAAGGCGAAGAATGCACGGACTTACTAATGAAGGGGTTCAATTAACGATGATTATTTTTTCTCATGGTATGGTAGTGTATTCATACAGGATGTGTTTTATAAGTATTCTTGTCAATGTCTTCAATCGACGTGAATTTAAAATGAAACATTTTGGCCTACTTGGTTGATCGTGTTAATACATAGTTAAATTTGACTATTAGTCAATATCTTGTCAAAAAAATAGTAAAATGTGCAAAATTTTGACAAATTCTTACTTTTTACTGACATAAAGTCAGTGTTCTAATTTGACTTCTAGCTCAAAATAAGATCAAAAGTTCTAGACTTTTTAAGAACTACTCAAATTTATTCTTTCCGTAGCAAATCTTATTAATATAGAAATAAAAAAAAATCTTAAAAATTTTGAGATAATACTTTATTATTCTCGATATTTGTCTCATAATCACTACACATTTATTCTACACACATTTAGCCCCCTTTTTTTGATGCATTATGAAAATATAAATCAAAATAAAATGAAGTCACCCTGTACTCGATATATTTTCTTGTCACTAAGTGATAAAGAATCCGGGACTAATTCAGCTTTGTATGCCGTTGCGCCTGCGCCACCCAACGCTGTTCGCATCAATTTATAGGCTTTTAACCTAATTTGTTGGTCCTCCCCACCCTTCGTCACCCCTCCACGCCTCGACCCGCCGCCCACGCGACTAGCAACATTGTTTTACTCTCTTAATAATTAATTTAGTGCTGACCTCACTTCTCCTTCTTATCTCCAAACGGAACCCAATTTAGGACTTAGAAGCCTTCTTTTGTTTTTTACCAAATGAGATAATAACAACACTAAAAAAAAAATAAAGCGTCGAATTAAGCTATCATGCCCAGTAATAAAGTATTTAATTAATGTATTTCACATTAGCCAAATAGCTGTCGATATTCCAAACGGAGTCATAAAAACAAGCGTTGACATTTAATATCAGCGTAATTTATTTTTTATAGTAACGTATGCGTAATAAACACTTTGGGTAGGTATCACTTTTTTTGCTCAGATTATATGTACCAAAAAGGTGTGGGCACAATCGCTGATAATTTATTGAAGAATGCTCTAAAAGCCCAGGGTGGTGGCGTTTATAAATATTTTGTATGCAGACGAAATTTTGACAAATACCACTTAATTTACGCTAATGACTCCCAAATGAATGCACGTCGACATCTAATGGCCGGGTCGATAGTGATGTACCAGTGTCGATGTGAGCATTTGCAATGATTTATTTTATTATTTGAGTTATTTAATAAGTAAAGTTTCATTTTTCAATTATCAAATTAATTGTCAATCTATTCATCAGGTACTATTTTAATTTATACGTAAATTTATGTAGTATTTTATCTTGATTTATTCTTGTATTTCTGAGCACAACACTCACTAGACTAAAAACTTACAAACAGCTTATAAAGCGAAATAGGTATTTTAATGTTACACTTAAATTGGTGGATTTCGACTAGTATTCATTGAGTAACGTCATGCGATTACAGTTGCCCTTTGCTCAACAGACTTTTAAGAAATTTCTATGCGTTTAAAACCCAATACCGTTTTTACTAAAATGCGAAATGATTTTTTTTAATTATGTCTGTCGCAATCTTACTTGAGAACCTTAATGTAATCCATTTACATAATTATCGTGAAACGATAACGTCATTACAAAATATTCGTACCCAGACTGAGCGCATCACTAAATGCTCATATTTAGATAAACGAGCGGTCGCATAAAAATCAACTCTTCTGGGCTAATCGAATTAGGTCCGATATTCATCTGGGCGATTTAACACATTTCGCATTCTACCCATCTAATAAATGCAGGTAGCGAACCTCTGCCCACATTTTACAATATCACAAAATGCTGATGAACTCATTGCCCCACTGATAAACCTACGAGCTTTTGTGTCTGAATAGTTGCCTCAATAAATGTTGAATATAAATGATTCACGGGGTCGGTCGAGCGGTGTTGCGATTGTAAAATTGCGGTTTTCACGAGAATGTGTGGTGTTGATAAATTTTATTCTTACAGCCCCCATAAAATTCATTGAGCGGTTTTTCATTAAGCCTTTAGTAGAGCTAAAGCTTTAGTAAAGCTTTTGGTTTGTATTTACTTTGTTTGTGAAGCATTTAATGATTTAAAAAGATTTATATTATTAATAACAAGTAGGTACACTACTAATAAATAAACCAAATGTTATATATTTCATTGTACTGCAACCAGCACTCAGTGGTGCCAAGGGTGACGCCACTGGTGATCTTCTTCGCCCGCACTAGTATAGTTGACTCTCTTCCATCGAAAGCAAAGGCTTGTGCATCATAAATGGAGATATCATCATCTCCATCATCAGCCTATTAATGTCCCCACTGCTGGGGCACAGGCCTTCCCTATGGATGGAATAGGGAGATTGGGCCATTACCCACCACGCGGGCCCAGTGCGGTTTGGCGGGTTCTAACGACTGCAGATGCAGCCGGGACCAACGGCTTAACGTGCCTTCTGAAGCACGAACTCGAGATAGAAGATTTTTGGTCACCCATCAATCACAACTGCGAAAGTTGCTTAACTTTAATGCAGCCGAACACGCTAACCACCTGCACCATCGAGCTCCTCCAAATAGAGATAGACTGATGATTATATACCTCTCATGAGTATTTGCCTTATGTTGCGGTGGTGCGTGGGGCAGTTCCACCCCCTGTTTCTTAACTGGAGCGCGCACTCGGTGGCGCTTCTGGTAATCTCTTTCAGCAGGCCGTACTGGTGTCGATGGCTACATTTTATCTATAGCGTAGGTCTGTGTTCCGTAAATGGGGATGACTTTACTGACCTCTTATAAGTATTTTCCTATTATGCTGCGGCGCTGCGTGGTGCATTTCAATCGCCTGTTTCTTAACTGGTGCGCGCACGCAGTAGCGCCCATGGTGACGCCCCTAGTTATCTCCTCGAGCAGCTCGGTCTCGTTTTTAACGGTACTTCTTGCACAAAATAGCTTAGAAGCCACGACCCCGTATTGGTATAGTTTTCTCTACTCCATATATACCGAAGGCCTATCCCCCAAAAGTGAGGCTGGAGATAATTTTATTACGGAGTACCAACCTCTCATGAGTATTTTCCTCATGCTGCGGCGCTGCGTGGTACAGTTCCACCGCCTGTTTCTGAACTGGTGCGCGCACTCGGTAGCGCCCAGGGTGACGCCCCTAGTAATCTCCTTGAGCAGTCCGGTTTCGTTGCGACAGATGTGCGCGAGTCGGCCGCGCGTGCGACGGTTCTTCTTGCACACCATGCGCGCGTCCAGGATCACTGCACTGCCAGACGCCCTGTGAAAGAGATGTTGTTTTGTAATATCAAATAACAAATTCCTATCCTTTTAATATAATATTATAAATGTGAAAGTTTGTATGTTTGTTACTCAGTCACGCAAAAACTACTGAATGGTTTTGAATGAAACTTGGGACGCGTATAGTTTGTGAACTGGGTTGAGATATAGGATACTTTGGATTCTTAAAAACTATTAATAAAGTTAACGCGGACGAAGTCGCCTCCTTCCTTAAATTAATTATTTATAAATACAGGATGCACGTTTTACGTACATTATAGAAATTTGAGTCAATTCTCAAACAAAGTTCAAGTGGAACAATAACATTTGTTTATTGAAGTTTGTGCAAAAATCTCACGATTTTTTTGTATTTTTTACATTATATTAGTGACGTGTTTGTGTCAAATTATTAAGTTTTTACCGATAAAGTTTAATAGATTACGAGTGGCTGCTTATGTTGGATTAAATATCAGCTAGCAAAAAAACATTACTAACAGTATCCCGGTGAAATGAGAATTCGTCTTTTTGAGAATCTAGTCAAGTTGCCTACTTTATCCACTGTAGTAATACGATTAAACGGATAGTGTGTCTGTGTAACTTATCTTCAGTTATTGATATAGCAATTATGTATGATTTCCAAATAGGTAAGTGTTGTTATGCAGCTGTTTAATTCGACGCACCACAAGTAGGTTTTAATCGGTGGGCGTAAAGGAGATTAAAACAGTTAATTGTGATAAAATAAAACATTACTGGTAAGAACGAAATGATTTCATTAATTTTCATTAGTATTTAATAACGCCACGGGTTAATACACCGAAATAATTAATATATGCCATAGCAGAGCCAATTTTTAAGATTTTCTTATTAGAATCGTCATAGAATACGGCGTAACAGAGAAAAAAAACCGGCCAAGTGCGAGTCGACTGACGCACCGAGGGTTCCGTACAAACTCAATTTAATACCTCTACGCGTTCATGAGAAAAGAGGTAGTAGCTTTAAAATTTTCAAAAAGATTTTTGATTATATGGTGTCACTAAAAATTTACGGTTTTCGCAATTTTTCCTTTATCTGTACTATAAGACGTTACTTCGTACCAAATTTCAAGATTCTAATATACAAGTACCTAAATAGTAAGTTACCTAATTAAACACAGTTCAGAAATCGACAATACGGATGATGAATAACTGATTTTTCTTTGTCTATCAGGTAGATTATCAAAAAGTATTGGACGCGTAATTTTCTTTCTTCACATAATCAAAACATTACAGAAATAAGCATGATGTCACGTTTTGGTATATTTTTACTTAGATGTGGCGTCACGAGCCCTTATTCTTGACGCGCTTAACTTTGTTACTTTTTGGATGATTGACGGAAAAAAAAATAAGTGTCCATTATTTTTTGATAATTTAACGGACGGATTAAATATAATTTCGCTTACTATACCCCGTCATCACCACTTTTATGACGTCACTATTTTTTTATAATTTTCTAAAACTTGAATCTGCTTTGTAGCTGACATACTGAACTATTTACACGCTGTGGGCAGTCTCGATTTACGAGCGGGCACGGTGAGCGCGGACAGCCGATCCCCAGGTCGCGTTAACAGATCCACTGTTTACAACACAAGAAGAGAGTTCATTGTCAGATGAGTGCGAAGCAACAGGGAACAAAATTCAGACGTGTCTGTGGCCTATCCTATTCCATGTACTAACCGTTCTGATGGAAGTTGATCGATTCGTTCTGCAGCGTCGTGTTAATTTGTTGCAGACGTTTTAGTTGCGAGATTTATTGCTATGAAGCTGATCGTTTGACATATCAGACAGTTTTGGAAGTTCAGCTGGTTTGTGCGTGGTTAGTTTATCAGCTGTTCAGTGAATAATTATATTGGAGAGAACCGATAACCTCAGTCTTGTGACTGCGGAACCAACGTAATTGGCACTTGCTGAAGTTGTTAATGTCGGACCTTAAGTTGTAACATTAATTTAAATTAAGCGTAATCTGACGAAATTTTATTTATCCCTCTTTCTTCATCAGTAACTGTCACGATAATTATGATGAAATTCTGATTGCAACAGTTTGAATGATCGATTTATATAAAATGTTCTCTTTTTAACATCAACTCTTTCACAATCAGCGTTGAAAAAGAGTGAAAATAAATAACAGCAATTAAGTTAAAATAACAATTATCGCCCACGTAATAAATGAGCTTTTCGCAACAGTTTACACCTCCGATTGCGCGTTGACATCTTATAAATGACTGACACGGTTTCTGTTCGATAGCGTCCGGTACACAGGTGTTTGAAAACTCCTAGACAAATTAAAACAAACAAATACCATTGGAAACATCCGCGTAACTCATGCGCGCGGTATTCCTGAACGATAATCTAATGATCGTAGTTAACGTTTTTATACTTACTACAACACTTGAAATCTGAGTATACAACGGTAAAAGTCAAGAAGTGTTGTAAGTTACGACCGACGCCTGTGAGAGATAGGTGTGATGTTTACAGTACGGAATGATTTTATTAACCCTGCGAATTCGTCTGCTGTGTTTACCTTGCCAGCTCAGTTTCATAATATGTATTTGCCGCGCGGGCGTTTGAACGGCTTTGTTTTGTATATGGAACAGCGAGTGCAGTGTAACAATATTTTCTGTAACAAGAATTTGACGTCACAGTCAGAACCTATAGATAAGTTTACATTAAAATTGTATTAAAAAATGTATTACCCAATAATTTTACCCGTCAAGAGATAACTGCTGGGATGCCATCAGGTCCACTAGCTTTCCGTACGTCGAGTGATTGCAATTCGGCGCGAACCTCACGCAGTCTGATTTTAATATCAGGCATCGTTGTACCACAAAGAGGTAATTATGGTGGCAGTGCATTGCAATCATCGATTCGGGAATTAGCCGTAAAGAGTTTTACCAGTAAATCGGTTTTCTACTGTACCTTATGAGCTAGTGTTCCGTCTGGGCATCTCAGAGGTGGCAGTGAGGGCTGGCAGAAGTTCTTCTGCACGGCCTTGATCAAACGCCTATAGCTACGGGAGCCCGTAGGATGCGTTATAAGTTCTTGATCAACATGTGTAACACGCTGGGCATCCGCTCTGATGTAAGCCGTCACATGCCTTGGAAGCAAAATTGTAAACCGCTTTTAGTGAATAGACCTCGGGATCTTTAAGAGAGCGTCCTCTGATCCAAGCACGATATGCCGCTTGCTTGCGCAAAACAGCTTCAGCAAAGTCGCGATTGAACCAGAGGTTACATACGCCCTTACTGATGAGATAAGAATGAGGAATATAGTATTCCATACCCATTATTATCTTTTATACTTAAAAAATGTGCAGCAGAGTAGTCTCCCGTGCTCACGAGCTTGTACCAAAGCACCTATTCTTTAGGGCGGTTGTCGGAGACTTGGGGAGATGCCGTCGTGCCACCGGTGCCCAAAAAAGGGGATCGCTGAAACCCGGCTAGCTACTGGCCAAAAACAGTCACCTCAGTATAATGTAAAGGCCTAGAAAAAGTCCTTAACAGCCATCTGACCCGCTACCTAGAGGATCACTCTCTGATTGTCACTATGGTTTTAGACCGGAACGATGGATGTGTGATCTTCTTTCGTAGTTGACTGATACCTGAGGTAAGGCTATCGACGAGAGTGGCGAGTCGTTGACTATCAGCCTTGACATTGCCAAGGCGTTCGACAGGGTCTGACACAAAAACCTTCTCTCCAAGCTTCCGGCATACGGTCTGCCGGCCCAGTTCCGTTCCTGGGTAGCTGACTTACTGCATGAGCGTAGACTTTGTGTCCATACGGATAGTAGTAGTTCGCGGTTCATGTCAGTGAATCCCGGCGTTGCTCAGGGTTCCGTCCTATCCCCCACTTTCTTTCTACTGCATATCAATGACTTGATTCCTCTTGGGAATATTCATTGCTATACAGACGATCGTACAGTGCATGCAAGGTATCTCGGACAGGCAGCGGCTGGACAAGCGGTAACCAAGGAGAAACAGGAGAATCTTGTCATTGAACTTAATCAGTCTTTGGACTACATTTCTGAATGGGGTGCCAGGAACTTGGTTGAGTTAAATGCTAAGAAAACCCAAGCCTGCGCTTTCACGGCAAAAACGTCGCCATTCCTTTCATGTCCTTCTCTGCAGGGCATAACACTGGAGCTAGAGAGCAGTATCATCATGGTTGGTATGGAAATTGTCTGTGACTTAAATCCAAAGAATTACATGTTTGAGTTCAGTTTAGGAAAATTCATAAGGATGCTGTGCTTCTATATATAATGACGATAATTTTCAATATTTATTGAAAGCTAGGGAACCCGTTACGAAAATTTGTAGACAATTCTATTGAGAATAAATAGATTTCCGTGCTCTCGACGACAACTTAAATACGCATCTAAAAGCTTTAGAGCCACTCAGTCTGACCAGTGACAAATACGCTGAAATTTTCTATCTCTTGATCGAATCCGATATACCCGAAGACGCTCTAAGAGCCTGGGAGGGTTTTCACAAAACTTGGATAGAGACAAGCTTTAGCAGCTTATGGATTCTCTTTAAGTCTGAGGTCGAATGTGATGTGAAGGTACAGATGGCACGCAGCTATAAGAGAACGCCTTATAATAGACCACCAATGACATCACTTGTTTCAGATTTAATTTTTTGACTGCCAGTACGGTTTCTTTTGTAGCAGCCGTCATAGGAAGATTACTTCTTTCTTCGTCCGCCAAAGTTACTCGACCTCGCCTAAATTTGTTAACCCGGCTGATTTAAAAGTGCTTTAATCTATAAACGCCGTTTGAAGTCTTTTAAACAAACAATTCTTCTGATTTTTGTCGGACCTTTAGAGCGAGCCTCACTGTAAGTTGTGCATTTTCCAAATTTGTCAATATATATTTTTTAATAGAATTTAAACATAACCTACTTACTATACCAACAGCCCACAAAAAGTTGTTTTATATTTAGGTAGAAATATAAATTTCAGTAAGTTTCTT